AAAAAAAAAAAAAAAAAAAAAAAAAAAAAAGAAAGGGCAGAGAAGAATCCAAGTGTCTGATTTGGGCGTGGCCATCAGCTAGAACTCTTTCCAGAGGCAGTGATGGGAGGTGTGAAGAGCAGGCGAGCAAGGTGTCCCGGGTGTCAAGGGGGGACAGGTGCCACTGTGAGCGGCACTAGGACGACGAGAAATGCCCTGGGCCTGAGAGCAAGCTGCTCATGGAGGCCTCACCGGCCAGTGCCAAGTCAGCCTGCAGGAGGCCGAGCGGCTGGGGAGCAGCAGAGCCTGGGGAAGCTGGAGAAGCTCCTGCTGGACGGCCTTCTGCAGCTGGGGAGATGTCCCGGTTCTCTCTATGGCACAGACAGGGACGGCTCAGCAAGGCCCTGCACCTCCTGTATGGAGGGCCTGGGACCAGAGTTCCCGTATCACATAATGCGTTTTTGCGGGGATGGCACCCGAGGATAAATGCAGGTCTTATTTATGCCTCATACCTGGACACACGCAGCCTGAAGGTCTTCTAGCAGTTCTCTAGTAACCCATGTTTTCGCGGTGACCTGTCACATGAGGTCAGTTGTGGAATTTTCTACTTGTGGTGTCTTTTTTCCGCTCAGAAAGCTTTGGTTTTGGAGTATTTGACTTAGGACTGCTCAGTCCATAGTAGGAGGAGTGTCGAAGTGCAAAGGAACACTTTTAAGGACTAGATGATTTCATGTGTCACCTGTTCTCGGTACCAGTGTCTTGGATGGAGCAGAAGAATCCAGCTGAGAAAGGACCGAAGTGTAAAAAGGATGATTAACGGAAGATAGGGTAGGCATGAGGGTAGGGATCACAGGGGAAAGCCCCTCAGGAGGGTGACATCTTTGTTGTTTGTTGATCGGCTTCTCCATCCCCAGGCTATGCTCAGTGCTATGAATCAGTCCTGTGAAGAGCAGGGGGCCCACAGGAGGGCGTGGGCTCCGGAGCCCCACCTCATCCGTGATTTTCTGATGTCTGTCAGTCTAGGCTTTTTCTCACCCCAGAGATGTTTAAATCCTGCGTGTTTCTCCTTGGTTCCATGTGTCATGTTTTATCTTAATTCTTCATTCATGCTGGAATTTAGCTTTCAGACCAGTTTTCTCTACCTAGGGCACAGCAGGGCACCGACATAGGGTTCCTGCCTGCATTCAGCTCTCAGAGCCTCGGGGGTCTCAGGGACTGGGTGTGACCGTCATTTCCTCTGTGTCCTGATGGTCACCCCCTGAAGGTAGCCGTGGGGAAAGTGGCAGTCTGGGAGGAAGCAGACCTCTCACCTTCAAAGTCACTGGTGACCACTGCTTAGGGCATAGCTGTCCCCATTGCCAGGGAGCTTTGGTACACAAGTGTGTGCTGTTCTGTCTTTTCTTAAGTGCAGATTTTTAATAATGAGTAAGGCAAACGTTAATTAAGCAGCTCTGACATCCCAGGGACAATTTGTGCTACTTGGTTTTTTTCACGAACTCACCCTACCCAACCCTCTTCCACCATTACAAAAGAGGAAGCAGAAAGGTTGGACAGCATCGGCAGGTCGAACACCCATTCTGTTAGTCTCTGCCTCTCCAGTTCTGTAAACCTTCTATAAATTTTTATACATAATGCCTACCAGTGATAGAAATTGTTTGAAATTAGATAGATGAAAAAATAATCATGTGTAATATCTCTCAGATATAACTAGGATTCTAAGCCATCTTTAATATCTATTTTTAAAAATAAAATTTGGACCCGCTGCCCTATAATCCACTCTCTCCCTTTCTTCTGACTAAGTTCCCAAGTTATTACTCTTTAGGCTTAGTGGCTGCAGGGGGTTCCATGAATTGAAGCTACCCTTCACTTTACAGTTTTGTATAGGTGGGGAGATGTTTCCAGTTTTCCTCCATTATATAATAATGCACTTTACATAAACTTAAAAATGAGTATGTATGTCCATCTCTAATTAGGTGAATTCCTAGTTATGGCCCTTGTTTTTTAAGATTATGAATCATATAATATATATCAACATGTGTCCGCCAGAACATTAGTGCCAAGTTTCAGTCTTAGCAGCGATGGACAAAAGTGTACATTTCCCAAGAGTCATAAACTCAGCACATTATTTTCTTCCTCTTTGACAGATAAATTGGGGCAGATAGCTTGCTGTATTAGTCAGCTTTCCATTCTCGTGGCAAAGTGCCTGACAAGTCCACTTAAAGCAGAGAAGGGTTATTTTGACTTTCAGTTCCAGATGTTGCAGTCCACGGTAGCTGCTTCATGGATTCTGGGCCTGTGGCAAGGCAGAAACATCGTGGTGGACAGTCGTGGCGGGGGAAAGCCATTCATTTCACAGCAGCCAGCAAATAGGCCAGGGAGCCAGCCTGTGCTGAAGGTTCCTCCTCCTTCCTTTTGTCCCCTCTGAGCCCCACCTCCTGGATTGCAGCACCGACATTCAGGGAGGGTCTCCCCTCAGTTTGCTGTCGTCCCGTGTGCCGATCATCTGTGGGAACACCCTAGTAGACACACCCAGAAGTGTGCTTTGCTGGTTTCCTAGGTGTTTCCCATTCCAAGCAGGTTGATAACCATGTTAGCATCACACTAATCATTGCTTTAATTTTTAATCAGAAGACTGAAACACTAACGTGTGTGTGTATGTGTGTGTGTGTGTGTGTGTATTGGATACAGTGCAGTTTCTGTTTCCTATCCACATACACAGACACACATGGACACAAACATATACATTTTTAGCCATCTGTTTTTCTACTTTGGTGAATGTTTAATTTGTTCCTACTTTGGTAGATGTTTTATTTGTATACACTTTATTGGACTACTTGTCTTTTCCTTATGTACCTTCATATGTAAGGAAACTGACTAGTTGCTGTGTTATAAATGTTACTAAAACCTTTGTACTATAATTTTTCATTTTTACATAATCAATGCACAAGTCTCTCCCTTTTGATTGTCTTTTACTGTTGCAACTGAAAATGTTTTCCTGGGCTGGGTATGTAGCTCAGGGTGCAGTACTTACCTAGCAAGCAGGAGGTCCTGGGCACCATCCCCGGCACCACATACATGTGTACACGCACACACACACACACACACACAGGCTTCCCCATCTCCAAGTACCGATAAACCCTGTAATCCAATCTGATTCCACTGATCCTGTGAACTGTTTCATGTTTTGTCTTCAATTGTCTGGAATTTGGTGCCTATGGTCTTCAGCTCCACCCTCTTTTCTTTCAAAGATCCAGGAAGTTTTAACTTCGCACCCCGCCTGTTCATCCTCAGCAGCTCCTCTGGAGACTTCTCAGCCACAGAGTTCGTGTACCCTGCCCGGGCAGCCTCTCTGGTCAGCTCGATGCCCTTCCTGCAGGAAGACCTGTACAGTGCCCCACAGCCAGGTAAAGCCCACAGGGCCACACTGTCCTGTCAGCGTCGCCAGTGTTGTGCAGTCTCTGCCAAGTACCCTGTAGAAACCCTTGCTGGTGCTGTCTCACATACTTCTCACACCTACCCGGAAGAAAACACATGAGAGTCGAGGGTCTACACTCCCACAGCACTTTTTCTGCTTCACAATCACACAAGGTTTACTTGTGGTGAGGCCTGTGGCACAGAGACCTCTGTGATGCACTGAGTACACCAGTATCGGGCTGCCAGCTCTGCTCTTCTCCAGCCTTCCTCTCAGACTTGTTGGTCCCCAGTCGACTGCCTTTGCTCCAGCCATCATGTTTGCATTCAAACAGAAAAAAAGGGAGTAGGGGAAAGGGCCATGCAAACCGTGTTTCTTTTTTTCATGAGATAAAACAAAATGCTTACCCAGATGGCCCCAGCAGACTTCTGCTCACATTTCATTGGCCAAAGAGTGTCACATGGCCACCCCAGCTGCAAGAGAGCATGGGAAAGCAAGTGGCTAAGGAGAAAAGGGCAAGACATCTGCTGAGTTAGTCCAAGAGCAGTTAGCCCAAGACCCAGTTTGAGTCTTCTCATTCCAAGGTCGGTGCTGACTCCACCTGGCTACCACCTGCAGCCTCTGTGCCCTCCTTTTGTAGGGAGAATTACCGGGGTCCCACCCTGCTGCCCATCAAGTCCAAGCCCAGGTTGCCCTGGGCTCATGTTACAGGAGCCTGGCGCTGCAGCCAGTTGCCCTCCAGAAAGCCGTGAGCTGGACCGGAGCATATGTCACGTGCGGGAGACATGAGCAGCTGCTCCCTGACCTCTTCATCCTGGGGTTCAGGATGGACTGGCAGCCTCCCCTGGGCTTTCAAAGGGTGTGTGTTTCCCAGAACCCCACAGTGCACGCCAGGAAAGGTCAGGGTGAGCTGAGCCAATTGGAGAGCTTTGCCAGGTGGAGTAAGAGTCAGACTGAGGGCTTCAGGGAGAAAGTGAGGAGGAGAGGCAAACAGTTTTACTTTTCGGAGCCCATTTCTCTTGGACAGAACCGGGGACCCACACCATCACTAAGCAGTCAGTGGGCACCAACGCCATGACCTGGGCAGGCTCTGTGGAGGTCTGTGTGGGCACGGCCCCTCCGTGGCCTGTTCCCACCCCGACTCTCCAGAGGGGCCACGGGCAGCGCGATGTGGAGCAGGGGTCAAGGTGAGGCCCGAGAGGCAAAGGAAAGGAAGAGGCCACACCATCGCCACCTCCTCTCCACCTAGGGGCTTCTCCAAGTTGACCTTTCCGAGGCCTGAGGGGTGTGGGGGCCTCGTTTTACCCCTGTGCTCCTGAGCCGCAGGGCGATGTCACCGCCTGGCGGAGCAGTAGAGGGAGCGGCCCCTTATGCTCAGGGACAGTGAGCAGGAAGCGTCCGCACAGGAGCTCCTGACGGCCCTGTCCTCGCTCCCACAGCTCTCTTCCTCGTCGACAATCACCACGAGGTGTACCTGTGGCAAGGCTGGTGGCCCATTGAGAACAAGATCACCGGCTCCGCCCGCATCCGCTGGGCCTCGGACCGGAAGAGCGCCATGGAGACCGTGCTGCAGTACTGCAGAGGTGAGGGCCCGGGCGGAGCGGCTGGGGGCTGCTGCGCCCCTCCTCTGCATGCCCGCACCTGGGTGAGCCTGCGGACTGCGAAGAACCAGCTTCCCCCTTTAACCTTTTGAGGTTGCGAGTTTCACAATTCGAACATTCTTGGCTGCCACAGGGACGGAGAGCTAGTTTTTCTTTTTCACATCATGAGGCCACCTAACTTTTGACCCTTGAGGTTGTGCCATGGGACACCCGGTCTCAAACCTGGGATTATCCCTGGCCACTACGCTCACTGTGCACGCAGAGAACAGAAATCTCCCCAAACTCGCTGAAAGGCCAGTGCCAACCCTTTCATCGTTCAGTATTATTTTACTGTTATATTCGTGGAGAAAAACCTATAGTAAATTTGGTTTTTTACTATACCATTTACCCAAAATACATGGTCTTTTGTAGGGGTGAAGATGACAGTAATCAATGCATATGGTTTTATTGATGAGCTGAATATCTCTGAGAATGTACAGTTCATTCTCTTCTCGAAAAGCTCTCTTATAATAAGGAGCGTCTTAAAATCCCCACCAAATGTGAAAAGCTACACCAAGGAAACGCTGTCCTTCGCCATCTGATGCTACTGAAGCCCATTGTATATTAGGGAATATACAATGGGAAACCTCTGGGGGTGCACGAGGAGCGGGTAAGAGCCTCACCTGGAGCTCCAGGGAGAGGCTCCAGACCTCAGGGGTCCACGAGCATCTCGCTGGGTTCAGGAAGTAGCACAAGCCGATCCCCTGCCAGTGTGACAGCCACAGGAGTGAAGTCAGCATTTCAGCTAAACGTGGTATGCGTGGTTATGAGACACCCGAGTCCACGCTGTAAGCATGAAGTCAAAAGTTCTGAACAAAGAAGCAGAGATTCCCAAGGAGAGCAGAGAAAGCGGGGGTCCTTGGGTCCACTGCCATTTGCACTCTGCTTTACTTCAGGAAAGAACCTCAAGAAGCCGCCCCCCAAGTCCTACCTTATCCATGCTGGTCTGGAGCCCCTGACCTTCACCAACATGTTTCCCAGCTGGGAGCACAGGGAGGACATTGCGGAGATCACAGAAATGGTGAGTGTGTGCCCTGCTGTGAGCCCCTGCCCACTTCCCCTGGGGGAAGCATCCGGTCGCGCTTTTCCTGTGCAGCATTCCGACGGGTTCACACAGGATTACCCTAGGGTGAAGGAAGACAGGGCTTGTGAGGAGTCAACTCATCACTGCAGGCAACTTTTTATATGTAGTATTCAGAGTTGAAATTCTTACATAGCTGAATTTACTCACTTTGAAGACTATAAAGATAAGCTACCATCTCTTCATTCTGTTAGCTAAAAGATATTGCTTCTCACATAATACACACCCAAGGCCTCGTGTTTCAGATGTTAACCTTGCAAGGAGAGACCCAAAATATACCTGAGATGAACGGAGGTATTTATTTAACTGAAAGAGGGAGTATATCACGGCTCGTCTGTGGTGTAGCCCAGCGTGCGTCTCATCTGTCTCTTATGTGGCCACCTGCTACGCTGTGACGCCAGAATGTGTCCGTCCCCAGAACCATTTTACTTTCCCACCATGCCGGCAAGCTTAGAGCTGTGCAGAACTGTGCCAGTTAATGTCACCAGCATTGGCAGTGCCGAAGATGTCTTTAGTTTGGTGGGAGATAGGTGTTTTCTCTTTGATCTTATTACTGTGTAAGGGAAAGCTGCTTTTCAGGGAGAAATGATATAAGTGTATTTCAGAGGGAATCTATGTAAGTTTCAACCACAAAAACAGTCACGCAAGGCTCTGGATGGTACATATGTGCTGCTGGACCTAACCTGTTTCCTTGGTGGGGGCTGGGAAACAGACCCAAGGGCCTCACTCCAAGCTACGCCCCAGCCCTCTGACCTCTCACGCTGACCAAGTGGATTTGATCTACACCGGGAAGGGGCTGATTCCTGCCTCTGACATAGAGCAAGACTGTCCTATTCGCTATGAATATGGGATCACAAAGCCACAGCCCCAAGGATGTAGGCCCTGTGGCTGCCTCCTGCAGTCTGAACCCCCATCATTTTCCTGTGCTCACTGCGGGCCATGGGGGTCAGCGGTGGCATGCGGTGCTGTGCGGACCTGTAGGCTTCCTACGCTAGTGCTTGCACTGGTCGTTAAGATTCCCCGAGTGTGTGCTCTGCCTCTAGGACTAAATCCAAACGCTTTGATTTTAGTTCTCATTTAACCCTCAGATAGTCCTCCAAGACTCACCTTAGCGTTACCCCCGACTCCCGAGCACACCTGCCTGGTCTGCCCCATGTTGCTGAGTTCGGTGACAGCCTTGGTTATTCGTTCCCTCGTCCACCACCCTGAAGGAGGGCAGCACATCCGGGATTTCTATTTAATGGAGGACGATAACTCACCTGGAATGGCCTATTCAGATTCAATGCACACAGTGCTTTAAATGGGAGAAGGAAGGGGCTTGATCCATCCCCAGAGTATTCTGGGTGCTGGGGCCAAACACAGGGCCCCAGGCCTCCTAGGCGAATGCTCTACCGCTGAGCCACTCTCCCACCCTTCCTTTCCTTTCCTATTATGGACTAAAATGGGGTCTGGGGTGAGATTTCCTTTAAGGTTAATGACTATGAAATGTTTGTAAACACAGTCCATTATTTAGAAGCACCTGTTTAGACGTCAGAGCCCATCATCCTCTTCCATAACTCACTCACAAGAGAATCCCTAAACACTTTCTGGAGCTAACCCTGAGGCAGGATTTACTAGAACGTTCGTGGCAGGGTGAGGAAATATCTAAAAGTTGAGACCCACAGGCCCATGACCAGTTCCTTTGCATTCAGACCCCTGTTCCCTCCCAGTGAAGGGAAGCCCCACACCAGGTAAGGCACAGAGGGGACTGGACTGCATATTTGCCGGCTGTGTTAGCCAGCTTTCTGTCACTGTGACAGAACACCTAAGAGAAGCAATTTAAGGATGGCAGGTTTGCTTTAGCTCACAGTGTCAAAGGGTTCAGCCCATGGTTAGCTGGCTCCATTGCCTCTGGGCTTGTGGCAAGGTAAGGTACATGTAGTGGAACAGAGCTGCTTACCCCATGGTGGCCCCAAAGCAGAGATAGAAGAAAACCCCTGGAGAGGAAGAGGCTGGAGATGAAACACACCCTTCAAAAGCCACCTTCCCAGTGATCTTCATCATAACAGGAGGCCCCACCTCTTAATAAGCCCATTGCACTATGGCCTCCTCAGTGGGTTAACCCAGGGATGGAGTTAAAACCCTCCCACCCCAGTCACTTCCACAGAGCCCTCCAGCTGCCAGCCGGGCCCTCGGCACCGCAAGCCCACTGTTTTCGAAGCTCCAGCCAAAATGTGTTCCCGTGGGGACCACACCAGCTCCTCTCTGTTCCCCCTGCTCTCCAGGACACGGAAGTATCAAATCAGATCACCCTGGTGGAAGACGTCTTAGCCAAGCTCTGTAAGACCATCTACCCGCTGGCCGATCTCCTAGCCAGGCCCCTGCCGGAAGGAGTTGACCCTCTGAAGCTTGAGATTTACCTCACCGATGAAGACTTCGAGGTAAGCAGCGTCCCCGGGTTGGGATGGCAGGAAGCCCCGCTGGCCAGCGCGTCGCCTCACTCGGCCCCCCGCTCCCTGTGTGTCCTCAGTTTGCCCTGGACATGACGCGAGATGAGTACAGCGCACTGCCTGCCTGGAAGCAGGTGAACCTCAAGAAAGCCAAGGGCCTCTTCTGAGCCAGGCAGCCCAGCAGCCAGCTCAGCACCGCCGGACCAGAAAGACCAATCCTGGGGCTGTTGCTTTTTTAAAGAATGTTTAAATGAGTTTTTCCAAAGCTGACCTTGTTAACGATACTGCTTGTCCCAGATGTGTGTATTTTGTAAATGTTTAAGAGAACTCTTCTCCAGAAACTTGCTTTCTGCAGTTCTGCAGGTGACGTGAGTAAAGGTCTCTGTCGTGTGCACTTCTGCAGAGATCCCTCGGCAGCCCCACAGCCTGCCCTCCTGTTCTATCCAGGCGTTGCCTTTGTGTTTTTCTTTTTGGAAGCAGTTCTCTTTATAAAGTGTTATTTTGATAGTTTGTGGATTCCAAAATATATATATTTATATAAACACCATATAAATCAAATATGTATTTAACAAAGCAATATGTATTCATTCACTTTTAATTTTTCTCTTTTTTTGGTGTCAAAATTTTATTACCAGGTAGTCGGAGTGGCTTCTGTTGGGTTAGATCTGCCACCCACCTGTAGCTTTGTACACACTCAGGAGGTCCCTTCTGAGTTAGGCCTGACTTGCTCTGAGTGCTGCTTCCGGTGCTAAAACGGACAAAGAATCTGTACTTACTGGTGTGGATGCTGAGGAATCTATGTGAATCAACCTTTCTACCTTAATATCGCCCAGAAAATGTATAGTGCCTTGTTTTTATGTACAGTTTATATACAGAAAAGTTTGCTCTGCACTTTTGATGCTGATATAGAACATTACCTACAGTTTTACCCTCAAATAGTAGGAATAAAAACATCTCAATTTGTAAAACCCATTGTAAACATTACACCTATCATTTTGTGACCTCGGACTCCAAAATAAAAACCTCAGAATAATCACGACAATGAATTGATTGGTTCACACTGAATTCTAAGCCTGTTGCTTTGTGGGGAAAAAACATACTTGTAATTGTCAACATAGCACCAATATTTTGCCATTAAATATTAACGGCTATAACTTTAGGGCTAGATTTTATGCAGGGTTATGAGATAAAATAGGCAAATATTTGACCCATAAAGTTAGTTCTGAGGTCTGCAGTGAAGATGTTTTCGCAGGTCATGATTTATCAGAAGCTCCATTCTGCACCTATATCTACATTTTAGGGTCTCAGTGCCTTTAAAACATGGATGTATAAGGCATCCATCTAGAAATCTCCTCACGTGCTCACCCATTCTTAAAATCCCAAATCCAGCTCTGGGGGCTGCAGCTCGGTGGTAGAGTGTTTGGCTGGTACACAGGAGGCCCTGACAGGCATACACAAAAGAGGAAAGAAAAGAGCCTGTGCTTTTGGGCAGAACCTACAGGTGGACCGTAAGTTCCAGAGCCACTGCTCCCTCCCTTAAGTCTGCTCCGACGCATCCCACAATCACGTTTGCCTTACACGTAGTATCTTCCTCACATGCTCCAACCCTTTGGGACCTGCACTGGGATTGGGGCCTCTGGGCTGCTCTTGGCCCCACCATGTTCTGATCGTGATACTGGGAAGTCACTGCTCTCCCCTGCCTTGAGGTCCTTAAGAAAGGAGATCTTTGGTGGTGCACGCCTATAATCCCAGCACTCGGGAGGCTGAGGCAGGAGGATCGCTGTCAGTTCCAGACCAGCCTGGGCTACACAGTGAGTTCCAGGTCAGTCTCAACTACACAGTGAGACCCTGTCTCAAAAAAACATATAAACAAAAAAAGGAGTTCTTGCCTGCATTGCAGGGTCTTGGGCAAGGACCCAGTGGCAGCTCTTTGAAAAGATGGTAGCAGAGATAGGAAAGCACACAAGTGGAAGTTCAGGGGTGTTATCATTCACTCGGAAGTTATAGATCAAATAAAAATCAGGTACAGGGGCAAGACAGGTAGTCTCCAAAGAGGAGTGGGAAAAGGTTTCTAGAGAGAACAGGGCAACCGGTGAGCGTCATGAAAAGGAGAGACAGGGCTGCAGACATCTGTGACAGGTTCGGGAAAGCACCTAGATTTTTATGTACACAGGAAGTGTTTTAGAACCAACAGAAGATGGGCTGGACAGATACGTGACTGACAGGTGGTAGATGACCTCATTGGAGGAACAGGCTCATGTGACTCTGGGGCCTAGGATTCTCCCGTCAGGCCATGTGCAAGCCGGAGACCCTAGGAAGTTGATGTGTGGCTGGCTGTCCAGGACCACAGGTTTCAGGGCCAGGGAAGCCAGGGGTGAACTCTCAGTCCGAGGCCAGAGGGCACTGGTATAAGACCTAGAGCCCGCAGACCAGAGAGCCTGGAGTGCTGGTGTCCGCAGCAGTATGAGAAGCATGTGTCCACTGCGGGATAAGGGCCAGCTAATGAGGTCTCAGCAGAGTGGGTGGACCGGTCCACACCAAGGACCTCTTCCCAACTCCATTCTCAGACTCACAGGCCTGCATCCTCCCGGCACCTTCATGAGACACCCCAGATAACACCACCAGTTCTTTTAACAGCCCTTCTGCCAATCAGACCGACACCTCAACTTAACTGTGGCAGAAAGGAAGGGGAACCAGCTCTGACGCTGTGGGTTCCGGAAGTCTCTTAAGGCCTACATCAGAACTGATTGTACTAGCTGGAAATTGACACAGATTACCTGTTCTCAAACCTTGCTGAACTGGCAAGTCCAACTTTACTGTCTGAACGCCACTGTGGCATTCATCTTAGATGGCTGTGACCAGATGTGTGGGTGAGACCCACAGAGGAAAATAAATACTGGGCGACAGTTGGACAAGGGGCCTTATGCTTGTGCAAAAGAAATATCAAACAGGACAGGGATGGGCAGCAACATGACTAGCACTTTTTCATGACTCGCTTCTGCATACGGAAAAACGCGAGTAACTAAAGAGGCATCTGGGGACCGCAGGACTTGTTGGTTTCAAACCTGTCCCCAGAGGCAACGATAAAACAGGCATCCTCCCCTCCCCATGTCTTCCCTGCCCTCCTCTGTTGGTGGTTCCTTCCTAAGGGAGGCCGCGCCTTTAACCATCAAGAACCGCATGGCTAACTGAAGAATTGTTTGCCAATGATGGCATGGAGGGCCCAGTGGGGAAGATGATGGTATCATCTTCCACGGTCCGAATCCAGCCCCTATGGCAGCGTGGGATGGCACGCACCATCATTCAAAATGGTCCATATTCACCCAGGAATATGCGTACGTGTTACTTATTCAAGTCTTTCTTGGGTGTGCAGTAACAATAAGGCCCAACAGAATACAAATATGACATCTACCAAGCTCTGACCTTCCAAGGAGCCAGCATTCCAGGGGAAGCCAGGGTAGTGACGGCTCAGCAGGAAGTGTAACAACAACGCAATCAAACTCTGCAGTGCGTTCCATTGTTCTGCTCCCTCCTGAAAATGCCTCGGAGTCTTAGCTGCTAGTATGTCGGAATTCTACCTCATTTGGAGATGTTTAAATAACCAAATTAAACAAGCACAGTGGGGTGGGCCTAACCGATCACTGGCAGCCTTACCTGGACAGGGAATCTGCACACAGACCAAAGCACAGATCAGGAAAGACCATATGGAGACGCAGGGCAAAAGCAGCCATCCACAAGGCAAGCAGAGGCCTCGGGAGAATCCAACCCTGGCTGCACCTTGACTCAAACCTTGGCCTCTAGAGCTGTGAGGTGGTGACATTTCTGTGCCTAGCGCTGGTCCGTGGTCATCTGTGACAGCTGCTGTAGGGCACTAAGCATCGGCAGGCATCGGTGGGTTTGTGGACAATGTCTCGGCCCCCTGGAGGGGCTGGTGGGCTTTCTCACTACCGCTGAGCCTCAGCCAGGCGTCAGCGCACACGAAGACTTGGCAGGTTCAGAGCGAGAGGGGAGGGCGGCACAGCCAGGGCGAGGGCATGGCCACAAGGGCCTCAGGAGGGAGAATGGACAGGAGATGGCTAGGCGCGTTCACATGCAAGGCTGACCTGGGCCTGGGTTTCACCAGGAAGCGGGCAGTGTCCCCTGCTCTCCGTGACCAGTGCTTTCCAGGGCCACCTGGTGTCTGTGCCCTGCCTATCCGACACCTTGTGTTACTGCTTCCATCCTGTGCTTTGTATTTGCCTCATTAAGGACTTGGATTTATGATATCCTCTTCCAGCCTGGGGTCCATAAAGATGTCTTCAGAAACAGTTCTGAGATCTCCAGCCAACAACCCACAATAGTGCTTTTTCTAGGTATCTTCTTTAGCTCTGCTAAACCTTGCTTTAGTTTTAGAAGCTGCTCAAGAAGACAAAGTATTCGGTTGCATTGAAAATATGAAGCATCTGTGAATCTTATATTGCTATTTTAATGATGGATTTAACTCTTTAATTTTTAATTAGATTTTTTCAATACTGGGAATGGAACGCAGCACTCAGACATGCTAGACAAGCATTCACTACTGAGCTACATCCCCAGCCCAGTGAATTTAAATTTTTAAAAAAGTTTTTTTTTTTTTTTCTTTCAAAAACAACAATGTGAATAGCCCTGTGCTATTGACTGGGCATTTTTAACAAAAGGCCACGGCATACAAAACCAAAGGGATCTGGCTAAAAGATGAAGAGGCAACTTGGTTATCTCTCCTCCATCTGAATGACTGCGACTGAGAAATACAGACGCACTCAGGCCCATTACCATCGCTCGCTACTTAGGGAGAGACCTAGGGAAGGAACTGGCCCTATACCAGTTGCTTCCTCTGGTTTCATAGCAGGCTGCCATGGTATGGATGCTGTCCCCAAAAAGCTCATGTGCTGGACGCTGGGTCCCCAGGGCCACAGTGCTGAGGTGGTGGGAACTTTAAGGGGCGTGGCCTAGCGGAGGCTTTAGATCATGGGGCTCCACCCTCATGGGTGGGTTGGTGCTGCCTCCTGGGACTGGGGTAAGTCTGGCCGGAGGTGAATTCCTCCCCACCACAGAGCAGGATGCTATGGAAAGAGGGAGCAGGCTCTCTTGTTTCCTTGCTTGTACATAGAGCCAGTTTTTTTCCTACACTTTGATCAGGTTGTAAAACAGCAAAGGGGTCCCTGGGAACCACCGGCGCCCTGCTCCTTGGACTTTCAGAGTCAGGAGTTCCTATACTTCTTTTCTAATGCTCCATCCAGTGTCGGATACTCGTTTACAGCGACACAGCATGGACTGTGACATGAGTTGATGAGGTGCTGTCACCCCATCTTAAGAGGGGCTCTTGAGGGTTTGGCTCTGACTCCCCTGCCCATGCTGGGGAATGGGAGAGGCTGGGTCTGAGTGGCCTCCAACTCCTCTATGTCCTTTGCCTCCACACAGAGAACAGACACTAATTCCAAATCACTGACTGACCAGCGTTAACAAGTATCTCCTGCCCCTCTCTGGCATCACTTGTGTGGGAGGCAAGACAGCTAGAGGAGCTGCTGGCCTTTGCAAACACAGTAGCAGACAGGACAAATCTCCCAGGGAAAGGGTTCTGTGGTCTCCCTGGCTTCCAAGCCCTGCTCTGCCCCTTACCACCATTACCCCTGAGCAAGTTACCCAACCTTTCTGTGCCTTGGTCACATCTACAGAGTGGGCTGATGGTACCAGACCCTGCAGCACATGTGGCTGCAAAGTAAGACAAAGTATGTGAAGGTCCAGGATGGCACACAGCAGCTGTTCGATAACTAAGGGTGGGGGCAATCTTGGAAGTTTTCCCCACTGAAGCAAGGGTATGTGGTAGCCCAGGACACCAAAGGAGAGGAGGAATCCACAGGTGCTTTTGCACCCACAGACTCCTGGGGCTTCCTGAGGGTTCAGGCTGGAGCCACCATTCCACCAGCAGGAGCCATGGAACAACGCCTGGATAGGAACTCGGTCAGTGGCATGGCGCTGTGCTTCAGTGGATACTGAACACGGGCC